AGATCTTTTAAGCAATATAAGCTAAATTCCATTTTCTGACCAGGTTACTTCTGGGAGTCTAGAATGGTTATTACAACCAAGGAATAATTTACTGTGATGCCTATTAATCTTTAACATGTTACAAAAACACCTATTAATGATTAACTTTTAAAGAAACAATATAGAATGTGTGGCCACATCTATTCTTCAAACATTTCTGGCCTAATAGGATCTATTTGATAAGACAGTGAGTTTCTGTTTTTTCTTTGCATGTTAAACTGCAGATATTGGAGACACTGTTTTCTTGTCTAGAAGGCTGAAATAAAATCTAAGCAAAACAATCTGGATTTATTTTTTTAATGTCAGACCTTCATTAATTCATTCTGTGTAGTCACAGTTGTTTTAATACTGTAACCACAGTGACTAAGTGTCTATGATGTGGCCCTTGTTATTCAAACTGGCTTAAGGGAAATCCTGTACACAAATTAGTCACTTTCTACTCCATTTATTTTAATACTTTGTTCAAGCCATAAACAGCAGTTCACTACACCCAGGAAAAACTCATTCCATGGATCCTGTTTCACACAAGCATGGTTACAAACCCATTTATAAGGCCCACTGAAAATGATGGTGTGTCTTTCTGGTACACATGCATGATACTTGACTGCATAAAATAATACAGACAGCCTTTCCTTGATGCTTGAATGGCGAAGCTTGTTCTAGCATTGCTTTGAACTCACTCAGGTGAGTTGCTTTTCAAAATTTAGTTGCCACGCTTCTCTCCAAACATGCAGTTCCTATACCATTTTAAGGTTCTGCCTCATTGCTACTGTCATGGAGTTGAAGTAGTGTGGGATATGTAGTCACAGAAATGTAAGATGGAGTCAGACAGGTTCTGTGTGAAGATGATTTGAGAGACATTGGAATGTGTTTTTCTAAGTGCTTTGGGACTGTTTTTCTAAAGATTGGTACAGCATGGTTCAAGATAGAGCTGAAGGTCGAATCAAGGGGCCCATGGAAGACTCAACATTCCGAGCTAATTGGAGAAGAGATGAAACACCTGGACTTTCATGGGAATTAAGGGAGGAGGAAGGTGTAATAGCACCTTGAGGCTAATCGGTTAATAGCCAGAATTGTCAAGAAGAAGAGAGGAGTTAGAGTGTAGAAAATGGACGATGGATTATGTGTGAAAGAAGGAGATCCAGTTTTATTCTGGGCTTCGATTCCATAATGATGGGAGAGAAAGGAACTTGACTGAGAGAGGATGTAAAGTAAAGAGAAAGGAGGTGGGGCTAACACACTGTAGCTCACCTTAGCCCAGTTCAGTAGTGTATTATTTTAATGGGAAATAGTTATTTTATTTAACTGTAATAATCTTTGAATATACTCTTTATGCTAAAGCTTATGCAATATAAACTTATTCTAGGAAACTCTATTTTTCTAATAAAAATTAATTATAAAAATCCTTACAAAGGACTGGTCTCTTCAACAGGAAGGTCTGGCTAAATCCAGGAGGTGGAGAGGGCCACAAACTAGCTATCTTTAAGAGCCCTACCTAACTGAGCTTTTGTGAGTTCTAAGGAATCACAAAGCCCATGTATCTGTACTTGCAAAGTACTGGGTAAAAGCAAAGTGTTCTTTTAAGGTCAGACTTGTTCAAAGGGCTTACACTACACACTGCTGAGGTCTTAGGATCTCCTTAGCTCAAAGGTGGTAGGTAAGTGGCCTGTCGAACTCTCTGATTGAATGCTAAGCGCTCCTTAGGGAGACTAGAGCATCACAGCTACCAAGTCCCCTCAAGCATGAGAAGCCATGGAGCAAATATAATATAGGTGAAGTGACCAAATGACCCTGGGCATGCTCTGCTACAGTTGTTCCACCAGGCTGAGGAAAGGAAAACTCCTGCCAGGGGACCAAGGAACTAATGGGGAACACTGGCCTAAGCCATGTTGTGTAAAGAAACAAGATGGTGTACTTCTCTGACCAGAAGCACCCTGATCTTTAACAGAATAATATGTATGACTATGCAGATACAGGTAAACGCAAATGCAACATGTAATTCAATGTATGTACAAGGCAGAGTTCGGAAAGTTAGGTTTTCCAAGTTTTGGTACAATGGAGCATTTGGGCTCCTTTTTTTTCAAGTTTAGAATTGGGTTTAACCTTGCAACTATCATCTTTTGATAATGCTCTGTGGGTAGAGCAGACCTCTGTGCAGCTATATCCATTTTCTCTCTGTCCTTGGCTCATGGGCAGGCCTTCACAATGGCTATAAGATTTGAAAGATCGCTGATCTCTTCATTAGAAAAAAGGATTCCTGCATACCTTCTTCCTGACCTATTTGTTACCATATGCAGGAAACTCTTTGACCCAAAGAGACTGCATTCAACGAAGTAATTCAATCCACTTCTTGCACTACAAAGCAGTACTGCACCAGGAGTATTCTGTTTGTGAGTGTCAAATCCCTCCCCCCGCCTTTTGTTGCTTGGGGCTGAGCACCAATGCCCTCCCTGCCAAACTCATGTCTGTTTAGCTTATCTTCAGAGGCAGCAATTCCCATAAGCAGATTTTCCTGTGGTAAATATACAATAATATATTATATAGCTAACAATTTGCCATCCTTTCATGATAACTTCCTTCTGTGGTCCTCTCCCTCTGCTGATCATAGGGTCGGAGAAGAGGATGGTAGCTTACACAACACCCAAAAAGAGGAAGAAAGGGGATGCAGGTTTGCATAAAATGTGCATATTCTGATTGGATAGATGCATACTTAGAAATAATTACTATAATTTAAAATAGCAATGGGAAACACTGCAAAAGTGAGGGGAAGAATGTTGTCTGTTTTGGGATTAATGCCTGATGGGCAAATTCATGGTCTCTGCTCTCCATTCTGCTGCTGTGGTTAGTATATGCCGTCATCACTTCCAACTTATAGTGATCCTATGAATGAGTGATCTCCAAAATTGTCCTGTCCATAACAGCTCTGCTCTGTTCTTGCAGACTCAAGCCTATGGCTTCCTTTAGGGAATCAGTCCATTTCATATTTGGTCCTCCTCTTTTCATGCTGTCTTCCACCTTACCCAATCTTTCCCAGAGAATCCTGCCTTTCTCCTGATGTTCTGCTGCTTCACCATTAAACCTTGATTTAAGCTAAACTTCCCTTCTGCCAGACTCTTCTGAAAAACTTTCAAAAAGGGAACTATCCTCTGTAAAGTAGTCATCCTGGTGAGGGACGTGCAGTGCTCCAGACACTACTGGATTGCAATGTTCATCAGCCTTAACCAGCAGGCTCAATGGTGAGATCATGGGAAGTGTTCTCCAAAAACATCAGGTTCCTGATCCCCGGCCTAATAGGGCCCATCCGTATCATTTCTTCCCAGACTATCTGTTGGTAAGGCAGTGTTTGATTTAGTTCTGTCTTCTTCATTGCCCTGTACTCATTCTGTGCTCCATAGCAAAGGCAACCTCGACTTCTGAGACTTCATTTGGACACAACTCATGCTCACTGGGACTTAGTCTGTAGAGGTTTCCAAATGTGACATCAGCCAGAACAACTGAATTTACACCAAAGTTTACCAGCATTCCTCCCCCCCCACACACAATGGTTTTTGAAGTAGAGTCTGTCTTCCCGCATATTATCAATAAAAGAGGAGATCAGGCATCACCTAAAATACAGGGCACTGGCTTGTATAAAATGGCCTATGCAAATATAGGTGGGGCAAAGCAAAATTAGATATGTACTAAGAATTACTACTCATCTCCCTCTAGACAGGGAAGACAGTGTGCCTGATGCACCTGTTATACAGGGGCTGCTAACCTTGGATGCACAGATTTGAGGCCCTTGATCTCCCTACCTAATTTTCAAAGAATCATTAAATCAGACTCAGACTGGACACCTTGCAAACAGAGAGCATCCTCAAATGGAGAAGGGCCTTCTCTAAAAAAGGACATGTGGCAACCTTAGGCAGTGGAGAGGACTGTGGTGAGACTGACATGTCCCTATCTTTGAAGTAGTCGTTTGCTTTTTAAAAAATAAAATGATAACTGTAGGTACACCAACACACATTTTGCTGCCTCATGGGAACCCTGGCTGTTTTTTTTTTTTAAACTTCCAGCCCCTGGATTTTTCTTTTAATTTTTTTTAACCTTCAGCTCCGCGGAGAAGCTTTGTTTGTGAATCAGGCGCCCTCTTGTGATAAGAGCCGTTCCCTGCCGGCCTGTCGAGAGAAGTTGCAGGCGGGATGGGAATGAAACTTTGGAAAAAGTTTGGAAGTTGCTGTAAAAGTGGTGTGTTCTTGCTCTCTCTCTCTCTCTCTCCCTCCCCCCCCCCGCCTCCTGGCTTTCCCTCGCTGTGTGTGCGTGCGTGAAAACTGACATGATGACATCCACAGCAGTGCCCGCCTTCCCGTGCCTGTTCAAATAGCATTCCCTAAATCTATCGCCCTCCAGGATCCACATCACCTCCACCGCCACCCCTTTCTAAGGAAGAAGTGGGGGAGAAAAACCCCACACCCCACACTTTAAACTCTCCCACTTCTTTCCCTTCTAAACGCCGAAGGGAAAAGAGAGGCGGCGCGGGGGGGGGGAGAGAAAACCCAACGAACTCCCGGGCAACGTAGGAAAGTTTATTGCTTTGAAGAGTCCCGTTTGCCCCCCCAAGCATGGCGTAGGTTTGGGATCAGCGCCGGGATCCTGACGATCCCGTTTGGGAGGCGGCCACTTAAGCCCCCCTCTTTCTTTCCCTTCTAAACGCCGAAGGGAAAAGAGAGGCGGCGCGGGGGGGGGGAGAGAAAACCCAACGAACTCCCGGGCAACGTAGGAAAGTTTATTGCTTTGAAGAGTCCCGTTTGCCCCCCCAAGCATGGCGTAGGTTTGGGATCAGCGCCGGGATCCTGACGATCCCGTTTGGGAGGCGGCCACTTAAGCCCCCCTCTTTTCTTCCCGGGATCAAGGCACCCAAGGCAAGACCGCCGGGCGGAGGAGGAGGAGAGGTTCCCTTCTAAGCCCGCCGGCGAGGCGGGTCCCCCGGGAGGACCAGGATGATGCAGCCCCACCTGGCGCTGATGTGCTTGGTGGTAGTCGGGGGGGTCCTGCCGGCGTCGGCTCGCCCAGAGCCCAGGAGGCGGCAGCAGATGGACCCCGGGCGGTGTGAGCTGCCCCGATCGGTGAGCTGGGCAGAGAGGGAGGAGGCCGACGGGACTCGGGCGGGGTGGGGCGAGGCGAGGTGAGGAGAGAGGTGAGGTGAGGTGAGGTGAGGTGAGGCGAGTGGGTGGGTGAGTGGGTTGGGGAGCATGACAGGGGTGGAGACAGCCCACCCTTGCCATAAATAACCCTGATCATACTAATAGTTCTACTAATTTGGAAACGGGCTGGTCCTCCTCCTCCCCAATGGCGACGTCTCCCCGGTGGACCGCTCGAGCGCCGCACCCCCCAAAGAGCGGGAGAGGTGCCTCCTCGCGCTGCCACATCCTCACCACAAAAGGCGAGGACCTTCCCGAGGCTCTGGTGTGGTTTGTCGCCCTCGCCGCGCCTGGCTCTGCCGGCGTCTCTCTCTCTCTCTCTCCACCTCACAACAACCCACAGGCCCTCGGGAGGAGCCCGCTTTGCTCCTCTTGCCCGGCGGCAGCGGCGGCGGGAGTTGGGGGGGGGGAACGACGACGAAGAGGGGAGGACACCCCCCCCTCGGGCGCCGCCGGCGGTGCGAAGGAGCCGTCTCGCTTCGCTCCCACAACTCCTAGGACGCTGCCCAAATTGTGAAGGTGTCAAGGAGGACTTCAGCAGAAAGTAATACTTCAGCAATGTATAGTCCGTCGGTTGGGAAAGATACACGGTTGTGGCCTCAGGTGTTGTCTCTCTCTTCATGAGGACCACGAGAGTCCACCTTTGAATGGACCTATTCCATTCCAAACTCACATGTGCATATACTTAATAAGGATTTAGTAGGATTTCAATACACAAACACACACATTTGTGTATTGTGTGTATTATAGTTCAACTGATTCTTTTTATGAACCATTTTGCAAGTTACAAGGTTTATCTACATTTGTCTATCTCTACAGATATACATATATGTATATCTCATTACTTTCACAATAGTTAATAAATACTCCGCTGGAACTGTAGCTACTGCTCATTTTCTAGCAATTCAACAGGCTGACTACTTAATTCTTAAGTTTAGCGGGCTGTCTCCTATATATATTCTGTCAACTTTGGCCTGGCCATATTTTGATATTGCAACTGTTCTGTACCAGTAACAAATCATCATCACCATCATCTCAGAACTGAGGAGGTGGAAGGGACCGTATCGATCATGAAGTCCAGTAGCCCCTGTCAAGGAGGCACAGTGGGGAATCAAATACCCAACCTCTGACTCTGCAGCCAGATAACTAAACCATTAACCCAGCAGTTATATCCCTTGAAATAATGCAAAGTGACCAGTTGTATTTGTACCATTTCTTTAATTGCATTCCCAAAATCTTGATCAGGAGTGTACTTATCCAAGTACATTTATTGCTGTCATAATCCACTGTTGTTCCATAAAAGGTCTGAATTCTCAATATACAGAATATGGCTAAAGGTTGTGTTAAGCGTAAGCATGGAACAATGTATAGGCCCAGTCTACATGTCTTATTGGTGAAGTATGATTGTGGGAACAATGCTGAGGGACAATTAATGTGGAATTGTGCAGGAGAGGGTTGCTGCACAGTGAGGTTTTTCTGCACACACCTGCAATTTCTGTTCTTATATAGTAATGGGGAGGGGAAGAATAGTAACCCACTCTTTTTAAACCACAAAGGTCAGTATGTTGGTTGTTAAAAAGAAACTGATCAGAAGTAGGTGACCTTCAGTGTTGACACTCTGTATTATCTTCCTGCCTTGAGTGTAGCATTTCTGCCTGTTGAATCACAATGTGACTTTACAAGTGCAGCCCAGAAGCCACTTAACCCAGAGAGAGTCACGTTGGAGGTTTTTTAATTGATTTAACTGGAGAGCATCTCCAATGTAGATAAACTTTGGTTGTTGTGTAGCTTCACTTATATATACAATCTCCACAGACCTATCTCAGTCCTAAAAATGTTTATGTTAATTATAGTAGACCTTGCTTTATTTTTTTTTTATGCAGTTAGGAATAGGAAAAACAGCATGTAAATTATGGTCCTCATATTGCTTTGCCAACTTACTCCATAGTAGGTGAGTCAGAAGGGAACTACGGTATACAGTGTTTATCTGTACCATTTTTTCCATATTAGCTAGTCTAGAAGTTGGAAGAGTTAGTTTTTAATTACTTTTTAATTACAATTCCCAGAATCCCCTGTTTGTGGGATTCTGGGAGTGGTAATCCAAAACACATAACTTTCCTGAAACCTGGTTTTTTCAACTAACTCTTTTTTCTTTCCTTTTTCATTAGCAAAGAGACCTAAACTCTTTCCTCTGGACAATCCAAAGGGACCCCCCTGCCTATCTCTTTGGCACCATCCATGTTCCTTACACACATGTGTGGGATTTTGTCCCTGAGAATTCCAAGGCTGCTTTCCAAGCCAGTTCCAATGTCTATTTCGAGCTAGACCTCACTGACCCCTACACCATCTCAGGCCTGGCCAGCTGTCAGCTGCTGCCTCATGGGGAGAACTTGCAAGATGTGCTTCCTCGGGATCTTTACCACCGTCTCAAGCGCCACCTTGAGTATGTCAAGTTGATGCTCCCTCACTGGATGACCCCAGATCAGCAGGGCAAAGGTCTCTACGCTGATTACCTCTTCAATGCTATTGCTGGAAACTGGGAGCGCAAGCGGCCTGTTTGGGTGATGATGATGATCAACTCCTTGACTGAGACAGACATCCGTTCTCGTGGAGTGCCAGTGCTGGACCTCTACTTGGCTCAGGAAGCAGAGCGGATGAAGAAAATGACAGGAGCTGTGGAGAGGGTGGAAGAGCAATGCCATCCGTTGAATGGGCTGAACTTCTCCCAGGTAAGAAAGCCACAAACCCTTTTGGGCACCAAGTGTGCATTCATTTTTCACAACAGCATGTATTAGTTTAGGGCCAGCCATGGCTTACAAGCGCACATCTACATGGGGACATGTATGGCTTAGGGGTTTTTATTTTGCTTGTCACTAGAAGATCTTTAGGGAAACAGTACTGATAAGTGTGCAGAAAGTGAGTTATAGTTACATCTAGCAGCGTCACATCCATAGAGTAGGTGTTATAATTTACCTTTGATATTCACAAGTACACTTTGTAATTAAGAAGTCAAGATTCTTTGGAGGTTGGGGAACCAATTGTGGAATGTCTTTGAATGGGATTGCAATTTACATGTATGTGGAAACAGACAGGCTTCTTGTGGATGCTCATTTGATATAATTCAGACCACTAAGGGAATATATCAGTGGAATGACATTTTGTTTTCTCTTTGCCTCTCACATCAAACACTGGATATGCTATCAAAAATTAAATGTAATCAGATTAACATATAAATAAATCAATAGATATGTAATTACACACCCCAAAGTGCTGTCAAACTCAGTGTTTGACAGCAGAATTTTGAAATACAGGTTGTTGTGTTTGTTATTTATTGGCTGAGATCCTGAAGTAAGTTTTGGAAGTAAACTGCCATAAGTTAAGAAATGTCTGAAGACATTATTTGTTGCATGCAGAACACACAGCTCAGCGTACAACAGAAAAGCTCTAGGGAGATTTTTTTTAACATACAACATTTATCTTCTAAAAGTTGTGCTGTTAGAATAACTGTGCAACTGGGTGTCAGCTGCTGAAAATGATATGCAAGTATGGCTGTTGTCTCAGTCTTTGTTATCTTCTCCAAAGGTCTGAGAGTACTCAACAGGGTGTTTCAGAAATGAGACACTGGTGAGATTTTGTCACATTCCTAGTAATAGGTTTGGTATGAGGGTACAAAATGAAGCTATATGGCTGAAGCCATGAAGATCTAGTTCTGGACTGATGCCTGAATTTGACGCATGTTCACAACTGTCACATTTGCCACCTTAGGTATCCTAAAAGAAGACTTATGGTATATATATGTACTGAATTGAAACCTCTGTGAAACTGCACACTCTTTGGCATGCTAACTGATTTATGTTTCATCTCATTCACTCAGATTGGGGAGTAGATTGTTTGCCAACCTGTTACATGTAAGGAACATTGACCAATGCCAGATTACTGCCGATCAGAAGCTTTCTAGAAGTCTTAACATTGTCTGTTTTAGAGAGTCAAATATAGTCCCATTCAGTTCAGTATACTGTATCTTATTCCTACAAAATAGGTGTAGGATTCCAGGTGAAATAAGGTTACTGTTTTATGGTTCAAGTCTATAAAGAAGTGGCTTCTGCAACAGTGCTTGTCAAGGATATGGCTTTATATATTTTTTCTAAAAGTCAGGAATCTCTCTTGGAATTATCATTTGAAAAAATCCAGTGCAGAATTCTCTTTATCTATTTCTGTGCATATCTCTTTTCTTTATGAACAGTTATCACCCTAGGACAATCATCTCCAAACTGATGGCCTCCAGATGTGTTGGGCTACCATTTCCAAAATACCTGGGTTATCTGTCAGGGAAAAACCTATTCAGGATATATGTAGCTCAGAACTTGGAAAGTTACATTTTTAATACCCCTCCCAGAATCCCATAGTCAACATTTCAATGATGGTAACTTGTTTATGTTTTGCTATTGGCTTAAATAAGTCACACACTGTACACACAAACTTAACTCTGATTTTTCTTGTTAATGCCATATGTTAGAACCTAATATGGGAATTAATTGTGCTGGTTAACTAATTTGCATGTTGTTTTATCTAATTGAAAATGGGCATTTGAATCAGAGTTGCCCTTTGTTAACAGCAATATCATGAGCATTGGACACTTTCTGCCTTCCCAATCTCTACATATCTCTTGATTTTGTTAATGGGCTTCAGATGCTTTTCTAAAGAATAAATTGTCTGTACCCTTTTGGATAGAACAACTGTTTTCCATTAACAATCTTGAAAATATCACCTGTGAAAATATGTAATTAGTTGATCAGTCTGCCAAAAATAGATGGCTGGATTGGGATAAAATGGGAAAAACATGCTAGCAGATGCATGATTTACTAGCACAGAGAATCTTGCTTGTGGTTGCTTCACTTGTTTATTCAAATAATTTTAGCCCTTTTAAGGTCACAGCAAAAATGCTCACTATGACAAGAGAGTCAGGGTCTTCTCTCAAAGCGTTTTATAGTCACATGCCGTTCATCAAAACAGAGATGGGGCAGTTCTTCGACTGCCACACTGATCACCCTTGGCCACTGACCATGCTGGCTGGAGATGATGGGAACTGGAGTTCAACATCTGGAAGACCATAGGTTGCCCACCCTTGCTGTAAAGAGTTCTTTAGGAAGTCCCTTTCCAAATAGCATTGTTCATTACAGACACAACTCTCAGCTTTTTATGATGAATAAATGTACTTTTTACCATGTGTGTGTTAATTGCTTTGGATGTCTCATCAAATAATGGCTGAAATCCAGCAGCCTAACTTATGCCACATAATGCTCATGATGTCACCAGCCATGGCATTTTTTCTGAAGTAAAATATATCTGATTTCTTCCTCAAAGGCCCTAAGGCTCCTATGGAATCCTCTTCATTCTTGAGATGCCATTTGCGGTCTGAGGAAAAGGAGGCGGAAGTCTTTAATTATCCAAAAATTACCACCTCTGGGATTATTTTACTGATGATGGCAATTTTTGGAAATTAAAGACTTCCGCTTCATCCCGTGACACCTAATAACTTCACCACAATGAATCCTAAAAGACCCCCGGGACGTTTGTTGAGGGAAAATCAGAAATCTTTAATTTCCTAAAATCTCTCCTGGCTGATGATACCAGTCTTATGAGGTGAAAGTTACACAGCTGGAATTCTGCCATTGTTTGTAATGTAATCCCAAAATGTTTGCTTTTTTCAGAAATATATTCTTAGGACTGAATTTAAACCTTCACTGAATCAGTTCAGATCCATTATTTTATTGTCTTCTTCTGGGGTTACAGCCGACCAGATCAGTGAAAATGTTTAATACGTGGCTTGCTATTTGTTTTTTTAAAAAACTCCTTTTTGTCTAATTAATTATATTAATTAGTAGATTAATACAAATTATATTTTTGGGATTTAAAACATTATCTCAGCTTCAAAGTCTTGTTGATATGTTCAGCCTTACTCAGTCAATGAGTATGCTTTAACATGGCATTTACTGTAATTGAAATCAAAATTTTAAAAATACTTTCTAAAAATGAATTTAAAGATCCTTTGGAATAGTCAAGGCAAATTGATCAATATTCGTCATCCTACTCTTCAGTGACTTAAAATGAAATATTGACAATGTTATGTATTTGTAAACTGAACACAATATTTGCTATACAGGTTTGTCAAAGAGTTAACTGTCAGCTTCCCAGTACAAGTTTATTCTACTTGAAAACAAGTTCAGAATAATTAGCCAGAAACACAATAGTCTCAGTGGGGCTTTGTTAGGTCAAACACTGCTTAAAATAAAGCTTACAAAAGCCCTTGATAAATAGGGTACAGTGGGAAGCTTTTCAAATGTAAATTATATTACATTTTTTTCAAGGGTTTATGTAGAGATCTCTTTTAAAAAAAAAACTCTTTGGATGGGAACAGTATTGATTTTTCTTTACTCCTCATTTTAACTTTGGCAGCAACCATTGTATGTAGAGATCTCTTTTTTTAAAAAAAAAACTCTTTGGATGGGAACAGTATTGATTTTTCTTTACTCCTCATTTTAACTTTGGCAGCAACCATGCTGTTATTTTTATCACAATTTCTCCCTAATGAAGAAATAACTGTTTTTTTGGTTCAGAAAAATACTTATTTAAAAAGGCTCCATTATTTTTTTAATGTATGGGAACATTGATTAAATTTATCTCTCGGATTTGCTCCTGTTGTTCATAAAATGCTAATTAGCTCATAAAATGCTAATTTGAGCAGAAAAGAAACAATCCAAAGAGTATTCTACTCTGAGATTACAACTCCCTCTGGCCATGCTGGCTGGGTATTCTGGGACTTGTAGTTCAAAAATGGAACTATTTGAAGATTTGATTAGTGTATCCAAGATGTTTGCTGGTCTTTATTGCATGCTTTCATTCTGCATATATCCCTATAGGGTTAAGTGGAAGTGGTCAGCAGAATTAAAGTGTGACCTTACATTTGAAAAGTGGGTTTTAGAAATTCTCTCTGATTGGCAAAATATCTTGTTCTGAGCCAGCATGGGAGGAAAGAAAGCTCCACTAACAAGCTGGCTCTTTTCTGTCCTTTTTTTGTGCTTTCTAACAACTGGCTGTGCTTGGCACTTAGCACCTTCTTCAGACAGAGCAATTTGTAATGTTATTTTCATTCTATCTAGCAATCTAATGGTTTGGTGTATTACAGTCTTTATGAGAAGGAGTGGATTATGAAGAATTAGGTTTGTCCTCTTAATTCAAAATCTTGGATCTTCTGCTAAGAAATCTATAATTAGTGGTATTAATGGTGGAAATTAGAAATTGACCAGAGTTTGTATTCCAGTGGTATGTCAAGGCCTATGGAAACATCTGTAATCATTTATAGCCCTGAATCTGTTGTGGGCATCAGCACAGTCTTTTTAACCTGCTTTCAGCATTACTTTGATTGTAATATATAATCTGAAAAGTTTGGAAACTAAGTATTTGAAAGCATGTCATCCTTAAGCATTTGTTTTCAATATATCCCATTTTCAAACACTTACGAAGGGAAAATAAATGGTTTGCTTTTCCTCCATTCCTTCTCCATCTCAAATTGGTTAGCTTTTTTAACCCCTTTCTCCTCTTTCATGCTACTGCAAATTAAAATAAGAATAATACATTGTTTCCATTGATCTAGTGTTGAGATTTTATGGTTTCTAAATTAAAAAGAAGATGTTTAAAGGAAAGAAGAGAACATTCTATGAACCACTGT